ACTTTATATGGGACGCCGCCACAGCATGGCCTGACAAGCAGTGTGTCGGTGCGCGGCCCAGGATCCGAACTGGCGAACCCCAGGCCGCCGCAGCGGAGTGCGTGCACTTAACCGCTTGCACCACCGGGCCGGCCCCAACTCCTTTACATAGTCTCCCGTGTACAGCTGGGAGACTTTACAGCTGGGGAAGGCGTCTGGGCATGGGGTCTGATCCAAGTCCTCGAGGGCTCCCAAGTCCGGGGGTAGGATGGCCATGCAGGAGGGAAATGCCAGCTGGGCTCAGGGGCGACCAGGTGCAGTCCCGAGAACAGCTACCAGAACTGCTGACATTTATACAGTGGCTGTGTTTATAAATGCTTGATATTTCTAAGTGCTACACTTTGGTTTCCCAGATCATACTAAGTGTGATTCCATATTAGAGAGAGATGGTCAAGGCCAGTCCAGTCCAGCATCCTGGCTTAGCCATTCCCTGGAGGGCGGGACTAACACCCGGTCCCGCGGAGGTGCTCAGAGACTATTGGTTGAATGAATGAATGAAAGAAAGGGGGCAGGACAGAAGTCCCCACCATTGTTTTACTGCAAAATTGGGAATATCCTGTAAACATTACCAACAGTCCTTTGATAACACGTTGCAGAGATTAAAATTGGAGAAGCATGGTAAGTCAGAAATGAAAGGGTCCATTATATATGGAAGAAACAGGTCAAATTAACTCACAGCTGAAGATTAGCCGCAGGTGTCTGACTCCCGCCCAGCATTCTTTCCTGCCCTTCATGGTCTAATCCCCTTTTGAACCTATTTATTCTTTTACCCATGTAACCTTACAGGCTAACAAGTTCCAGATGTTATTACCACCACCAGGTTCTCTAACTCTTTCTTATTCCTCTTTATTTATAAATCATGCTCACGTGAATTGAGACGCAGAGGGAAGAACACTTAACTAGGGGTCAAGGGGCCGGGGTTGGAGTCCCTGCTTACTGAGTGAATTTGGGGTAAGTCAGTTTCTCCATTCGCAAAATGGGGGCGCTAGACTCCGTGATGTATTACTTCATAAGTGCAATGACATTTGTTCTCAACTCTCCTGTGTGACCTCCACCACTAGCCTCCCAACCATAAACCAATAAAAGCAGCAGTGGAGGAAAGGCCTTCCTCGGAGATGACACCACAGGCCAGAAACAGAACCAAGGCCCATGTACAAGCCCTGCCCTTGGACTGCTCTTCAGTTCTTTGTGCTGTACCACTGCCACAGGTGAAGAAACTGTATCTAAATTGCCTCTGCTTTCCTGTTTGATGCTGAAAAAGAACACGTGAGTTTCCATTGCAAATAAGTATCTCTTACATGAATGTACTGATTAATCTCAGGGGAGTCACCTCCTCCTCTCACGGGACGAGAAAGGGGTAAAGAGAACATTTTCTGGCACCTGAAATTACTAATAATGCTAATAATAGCATCAATCTTTTACACTTCTTTTTCACTTTACAGTTTCATTTAATCTGCAACTCTGGGAAGAAGATATACTCATTCTACAGATGGGGATGCTAAGGCACTGAGAGAGAGTAACTTATCTGAAGCATTTGAGGCTAGTAAGTGACAGAGTTAAGAGCGGAGACCAGATAGTCTGACTCTCCAGTTCAAAGACCCACAGCAGACTACATTGAGATAATTTTATTATTTCTATTGGTATTAAAAACAATTTCCACCGTAGAATAACAATTGTATACAGTCGCGCACCACATAACTACGTTTCAGTCAAAGGGCCGCATATACGACGGTGGCCCCGTATGATTAGTACCACACAGCCTAGGTGTGTAGTAGCCTATATCATCTAGGTTTGTGTAAGTACACTCTGTGATGTACAACAAATCACGTAACGATGCATTTCTCAGAACATGTCCCCGCCGTTAAGCGACGCGTGACTATATTTTCAAGGACAGGACCAGGCTGAAGCCATTTAGCAGACACGTGACTCCAGGACCACATGGCTTCTGCGGCAGCCCTGACAGATCTTGGAGTTAATGAGCAACAAATTATGTATTTTCTCTATCCCCTAGTACAGAAGGGTCGGGGAGTCGACAACACAGCCATAAATCATCATTATGAACCAGCCGGACTTGGCTTCTTGTAATCCTAACCCTTAAAAGACCATTTAATGAAATTCGGGCTGTGAAAGGCAGCCCGAATACCTCACCTCTGCAGAAGAGGCGAAGGCTTAAATTGTTCCACGACACGTTACACACCTAACTCTGGAGTTCCAGATTTACTGCTTTCGGACTTTATTCATTACTCACAATGTTTTTATTCCTGAGTAATAAAATAAGCTCTTCCCTCCTCCTGCCTCCCCCTACAAAGGCTGTCTCCACCCCCAGACTCCCGCCCCTGGAGCCCTCATTTCTGCTTCAGTCAGCAAGGTTGTGATATGTAAATGTCACTGCTGAGAAAAATGCAGTCAATGTTGATCCCTTTCTGAAACAGCAAGCAGCAGATTCTGGAGGTGATGGCAGGCTGCCAGGCCAGCAGAGGAGAATTCTCCCCTACCTGCCTTTTAAAGCACTTGGCACAGAATCTGGAAACTAATAAAGTGGGAAAGCATTGCAATTATGCTACGAGGGGACAGAAAGGGACCAGTCCTCGCCTGAGAACGGCCACAGTTTGGAGGGAGGTTGTCTCCAACTCTAAGACAGCTCCTCTTCCTGTCTTTTCTGGTGTAAAAGAGCACAGCTGCCCACATATGCACAAATATTGAACTGTTCCGGAGAGGAAATCTGGAGAAACGCTAGGATAGACTTTTTGGAAATGAGAGAGCACAGGGTGATAAAAGAAGCCGACTTTGGAGCCAGAAAAACTTCAGTCTGAATCCCATCTCTTACTTTAAGCAAGTGACTTCACCTCTCTGGGCTTAGGTCTCCTCGTCTATAAAATAAAATTAATAATATCTACCTGGCAGGATTGCCAGGGGATTCAAGAAGGTGATATGTCAAATGCCTGGCATCCAGCAGAAGAGCCTTCCAAAAGTTAATTTTTCCTCCTTCCCTTGGAGAAGGGAAACAAAAAATTAACAAATACTTGCAGATAATATCTTTTCCAAGATACTTCCAAGAGCTCCTTGGAAAAGAACACTCTAAATTGAAGAGTTTGGAAGTACCATCCCTGTAGGGTAGAACCAGAAAGTGTGTATGAATATGTTGGTTCTGACCATTTTATCTGTGATGGCTTTTTCGGGGAAGCAAAGCGGAAGGGAAGTCTAAACCCAAGGCAGCACGAGCAGCCCTATTGTCTTGTTCGTAATATTCCACTCTATACATTATCCCAAGAAAA